TTAAATTTTAAAGTTTTTTTCCTTGGAACCTCTCCTTTAGAGTCGTCCGATCTGCAATGTCGTATTTGTTACGCCATTTTAAGCTCGAAGTCAGATCTTACAAGGCATACTGCTTCGATTCACGCAAGTAGGTTCCTCAATTATTTTTCTTCTCCCATCTTCCTATTGTCCTTATAGATATTTATTATAAAAGTCACCCATTGTGACCTCTTGCTCCGCGGATTGACTGGGACCTTATGACAGTTAAGGGCCACGGACAGGGATTCGACTAAATGCTATTAGACATGGCATTTGATGAATTTGTTTCAACATGTACGAACTGTGACTCGGATGCGTGAAGGTCAGAGAGCTAGTTGCCTAAACCTTGTGTTTACCAAGAACGAGGAAAGCGTTGATGAAGTAACTGCAGGCCCGTCCCTAGGTTCTTGTGATCACATGACATTCATGTGAGAGTGGACACTCGTTGCTGTCCCCGAACGAAGCTCAAAGTCGTTAAGAAATGTCTGCCGGGGTAACTTTGAGACAATGAAGTCAGGGATTGGACACACTATGGACGGAAGCATTTCGAGGAGATGTCAACGAATGCTGGACAACCTTCCAATCAACTATGAGAGACTCACTTGAACGATACTGTCCCCTCAAGAAACATCCAACCGGAAATAACCGGCTGACAGCATCGGTTAAGAAGGAATTTCGAAAAAACGCAAGCTGTGGAAAATCTTCTTACAAACGGAAAGCCCAGAAAAACTTCAAGAATTCAGACAACAACGAACATTATGCAAAAGACTCATCCTAGAAGTGCGAGCTTCTTATGAACTGAAGCTCCTGGAAGAGGCGCAGCAAAAACCTGAAGCGTTCTATACATATATCAGGAGCAATACGAAAAACCGGGACCATCTGGCAACCTTAAAGGACAAAAATAACCGAATAGTGAGCGATGGCTTTCAAAAAGCTGAGCTTCTTTCCGAGTTTTTCCAAAGTGTGTACATCACGGAACCACAACTCCAGTCCTGTTCTCTTCCACTGCTCGCTAACCAACCACTTATAAGCACAGTATTTTTTACTCCGCAGTTAGTTTTAGCAGAGCTAAATAAGCTGGATCCGGCCAAGTCACCTGGACCAGATGAGATCACAGGTGTACTCCTACGTCAGCTAGCTGAACAATTAGCAGAGCCACTTTCTATAATCTTCCAAAAATCACTGGAAGCTGGCAAACTACCTGGCACATGGAAGTTGGCAAACGTCGTACCTATCCACAAGAGAGGATCACGGCTATGTCGCACCAACTACCGGCCAGTGAGTCTGACATGCATTTGCTGCAAACTGATGGAAAAGTTAGTTAAAAAATCAATTACATCACTCGGTGGCTACTGCTCAGAATAGGCACCTGTTACAAGTGGAGTCCCACAGGGGTCAGTTCTTGGGCCGCTCCTATTCATTATCTATGTAAATGACCTAGTACGGGAAGTGAAATCGGACCTAGCGCTCTTTGCAGACGATCTTAAACTTTGGAGAGCGATAAAAGATGAAGATGACGTCAAGAGAATTTGCACACATGGAGCGAGAAATGGTGCATGAAATTCAACGTCAAAAATGTGCAGTAATGCACGTAGTATCAGCGAGGCAAAGAACAAATGCACCCCCACGACAGTATCTCCTGGACAATCAACCACTTAAAACCGTAGATGTGCAAAAAGATCTCGGTGTATTCATTAAGGACGATCTAAGCGTCACCACGCAGTGTTCTAAAGTCGCTGCGCGGGCAATGTCAATTATGAATGCGATACGCAGAACGTTTATTCACTTGAATAAAGATGTCTTTGGCAAATTATACGGTACGTTTGTGCGGCCGCATCTGGAATATGCGATACAGGCTTGAAGGCCGTGGCTTCGGAAGAATATAGATATCCTTGAAGGTGTACAACGGCGTGCTACAAAGGCTGTTCATGGCCTCAAACATTTCACGTACGAGCAGCGCCTGACGGCTTTGAACCTCTATCCCCTCCACTACAGGCAGGACAGAGGTGGCCCCATAGCAACGTTCCAGTTGGTAAAAGGACTTAATCTGGATGTCGACTGGGAAACGTTTTTTGAAATGGCACTCAAGTCTAATCTCAGACGACATGATTACCGGCTTAAAAGGGGAACTGTGCCACACAAATCAACGTTCCTCCATTTTCTCACAGAGGGTTATTCGCCAATGGAACTCTTTGTCAGAGTATGTTGTAAATTCCCCTACCGTGAACGCGTTTAAGAGACAACTGGATACTCGACAGTTCGACCGTCGATTTCGACGATGTCCACCGTGTGCCCCACAGCTGCAGCAGCGGTGGGAGCAGGGACGGTGACTTGCGCAGGGGTTTATAGTGCCAGTAGACTTGCGTAGCATCTACCTACACTCTCTCCTCCTCCCCCCCCCCTGGGCCCGGTGTCAAGACAGAGTCAAGAAGACCGGAGACGAGGGAGGCCGCAGGTGGATGGCTCGGACGGATCCTCACCTTGGCGTTCCACCACACCCCCTGGTCCACACAACAATAACCAGGATTTCAACCAACACAACAGAGATTTGGAGGCTGGCACGGCCGAAGCCGCACATAGGCGTGCCGCCAACGCCTGGCTGGGATCCCACACTGTGGTGGGAGTGCCATAAAGGCTACATTAAAAAGGAGCCATTGCAGCCTGACTCTCAGACCGCCTCCCGTTAAGGAGGAGGTCCAAGGTACCCCGTCAGTTGGCAACCTTCCAAACCACGGCTTTTAGCGCACCGTGATAGCTTCAAGCGCGTCAGATTGATTATAGTGAGGAAAAAGTGCGCTGAGTCGTCGACCTCACTCTCCCTTCCCATTCCCACACCCCAGCCGCCGTCCGAGCCGGTCGGAAAACTGGAGTGGTGGATGGGCGCGGTGGCTGCCACGGTCGACTGACCGTGACTGCGCGCGCCACAGCACGACCTGGCCGCCCATACACACACAAACACCAGTATTTCACACAACAGGGGTTGAACGGCGTGTCTCTCACTTGCGTGAGAGGGCCGTGGAAGGTGCTGCTTCAGCCCGTTCCCAGCCCACCAGTCCGCCACTCCACACAGCACACACACACACAACGCGACGAACTGCGTGAACCGAGAGCGGGCATCAATCAGCAACCTTCCTATCCACGACACTTGAAGTGTCGGGATAGTCTCGGACTCAAATCACCCGTACAGCCGAAGCCGCGTGGGAACCGAGTCGAGATGCACACTTCCCACTTGCGTGGAAGGTGGCAGTTGGTGCATGCGGTGGGTAAGTGTTGATGTGTGTTGGTGATGGTGGAGGAGGGTAGGGAGTGTGTGGATGTGTGGTGTAACCGGCGGTTGTCTACCGCAGGTCGTCGTGGATGCGCATGTGGCCGAATAGGCCCATGCGGTGCCTGAAAGTGCGAGGACAGTGTGGGCAGTTGAGACGAGCTTGGTGGGTGTAGGTTGGTGCTCCAGGCACTGGTTCTCCAGTCTCTGTGTGATGGATTCGCAAGTGACCGACCAGGCCGATGCGTGAGGTGAATTTGCGTGGACAGTGTGGGCACGTGAAGTCGGCGGTGTCAGAATCAGCTACAGAGGAGGCGTTGGTGGTGGCGCAGATGGACGGTGCGAGGGTGGTGCTGGGCATGATGGGCGTAGTTGGTGTGTCGGAATTGTGGTCGATTCCGCTCTCGTGGATGCGCATGTGGCCGAATAGACCCATGCGATGCGTGAAGGTGCGAGGGCAGTGGAGGCGAGTGCGGTGGGTGTAGGTTGGTGCTTCAGGCACTGGTTCGCCGATCTCTATGCGATGGATTCGCAAGTGACCGACCAGGACGATACGTGAGGTGAAGGTGCGATCGCAGTGAGGGCAGGTATAGTCCTGATTCTCATTGCTGGAGTCAGGAGAGGCGGGGGTGGTGCCGGTTGTTGTGTCGCGGTCGGAGATGTGCGAGACGGCTGCCTGAGCGGCCGCCGTTGGGGCAGTGGTGATGGTGGTGGTGGAGGAGGAGGAGGAGGAGGAGGAGAAGGAGAAGGAGAAGGCAGAGGAGGAGGATGGAAGTGGTGGTGCAGAAGAATTCACAAAGTTATTCGGGGGCAGAGAGGACGAGGATGACGCGGGCGGGGGGATGAAGGTTGGTGCAGTTCGAGAGGTACAGTTGATCCGAAGATGTCCAACAAGGCCGATTCGATTCCGGAATGTCCGCTTACATCGAGGACACGTTGGAAGCAGTTGTGCGGCAGCGTTGCTGACTGGGCGCAATTGGGATTTGCGGGCTTCGCGTTTCGCTTTGGCGGCGGCAATGCGGTTGGCTTCGTGGATAGCAGCGCCCGTCTTCACTGTTCTCCTCCATGCCGGACGATCGCAGGCGAGCTCTTCCCAGTTGGTCGGGTTGATTTGCAGCAGCTTCAGGGAGGACTTCAGGGTATCCTTGTATCGACGAATTGGGCCTCCTTGACGACGAGAACCCGTCGCGACGTCTCCGTAGAAGAGTCGTTTGGGTAGCCGCTCGTCGTCCATGCGCACCAGGTGGCCGCTCCAGCGCAGCTGCATTTGTCTCAACATGGAGTAGATGCTGAGCATTCCCGTTCGTTCGAGCACATCAGTGTCGGGGATGCGATCCTGCCAGTTCAGCCGCAGGATGCGACGAAGACAACTGAGGTGGAAGTGGTTCAGACAGCGTGCCTGCCTCGTGTACACCGTCCAGGTCTCTGCTCCGTACAGTAGCGTCGGCAGGATAACGGCCTTGTACATCTTCAGCTTCGTGTTTAGTTGAAGACCGTGACGATTCCAAACTGTGCTTTGGAGACGACCGAAGGCTTGACTGGCTTTCGAGATCCTGTTGGCGACATCGTCATCAATCTTGGTGGTGCGGGAGAAAGTACTGCCCAGGTACGGGAAGTTCTCCACCACTTGCAGTAGGTTCCCATTCACGCTGATTTGCGGGGACGCGTTGGGGACTGTGGCTGAGTTGGGTGGCGGTTTGTGTATCACCACCGTCTTCTGCGTGTTAATGACCAGACCGAAGTTCTCGCAGGCGGCGGAGAACGGGTCCATGCTCCGTTGCATCTCCTCTTCCGAGGTGGTGTTCAGGGCGCAGTCGTCGGCGAAGAGGAGTTCATGCACGGTGGTTGTGGGTACGCGCGATTGGATGTTCATGCGCCGTTGATTCAGCAGACGACCGTCCGTTCTGTAGGCGGTGCGGATCCCGGGGCGTTCGTCGCGGTAGGCGTCCATCAGCATGGCAGAGAACATAAGACTGAAGAGGGTAGGCGCCAGTACGCAGCCCTGCTTCACTCCATTGGTCACTGCGAATGCCTCTGAGACAGCTCGTTTTCTGTGACTCGCACCATCATACCGTCGTGCAGCTGACGCACCACCTGAGTGAATCGCTCCGGACAGACGAATTTCTGCATGATCTTCCACAGTCCTTCACGATTCACCGTGTCGAAGGCTTTCGTCAGGTCCACGAAGGTAGAGTACAGGTGGGTCCGCGTCTCCTGACACTTCTCCTGAAGTTGACGGGCGGCGAAGATCATATCCGTGGTCCCACGATGACGACGGAAGCCGCACTGGCTTTCCGGCAGAAGGCCCTGTTCCAGGTGGTTATTGAGGCGGTTGAGAAGGATGCGAGCGAAGATCTTCCCGGCGATGTTCAGCAAGGAGATGCCACGGTGATTTTCGCAGACTTGGCGATTCCCTTTTCGCTTGTATAGGTGCAAGATTGTTGCGTCCTTGAAATCTTGCGGGACTTCACCTTGACGCCACATCTCCTGGAAGAGCGCAGTCAGGTGATCCATGGGTTGGGGACCTCCGTGTTTGTAGACCTCAGCAGGGATTGCGTCCGATCCGGGTGCTTTCCCGCTGGAGAGCTGCTGCACGGCTCTGATGGTTTCCTGGAGAGATGGCGGGAGGTCTAGGTCCGCGTTGGTCTCGACTGGCGGCAAACGCGGGATGGCGGCGTCGGAGATGGCGGGTAGGCGGTTGAGGACGCCTCGGAAATGCTCGGCCCATCGCTGAAAGATTTGCGTCTTCTCAGTCAGGAGAGTACTGCCGTCGGCGCTGAGGAGAGGAGCAGTGCCCTTTGTCGGCGGACCGTAGACAGCTTTGATCGCAGAGAAGAAGTTCTTCCATTCGTTGCGGTCCGCGTAGCCTTGGATCTCCTCAGCTTTGCGAGCAGTCCAGGCGTCCTGCATCTCGCGCAGTCTCTGCTGGAGGTGGCGGCGACTGCGGTAGAAAGCAGCTTTGGTGGCATCAGTAGGGTGATCGACGTAGGCTTTGTGTAGGCGGTTCTTCTCGGCAAGCAGATTTCTGATGGCGGCGTCGTTGTCGTCGAACCAGTCCTGGTGTTGGCGGGGAGCGCGACCGAGGACGGTGAGCGCCGTCGACTGGACCGTGTCTCGCAGTTGACATCAGCGGTTCTCCACGGAGGCGTTCTCGGCAGCGGCGTCGTCGGCGGCGGCAGCGATAGGAAGGTTGTCTAGCCGTTGAGCTAGCTCATTGCTGAAATGGAGACGGTGAGCAGGCAAAGACAACAAAGCGACATTCAGCTTACTTGGGGGTCGCTTACCTTGTGGTCTCCTGCGAGGCTGTAGGCGAATACGCATCTTCGAGATGACGAGGCGATGGTCGGTCCACCCGTCAGCACCCGCGATCGCCTTCGTCACCAGCACGTCCCGCTGATCTCGCCTCCGGACGAGGACATAGTCCAGCAGGTGCCACTGGCGCGACCGAGGATGCATCCAGGTGGCCTTCTCTCGCTCCGGCAGACAGAAGAACGTGTTCGTCAGGATGAGGCGGTGTTCTGCGCAGGTGCGGAGGAGAAGCAGGCCGTTGTCGTTGGAGCCGCGGAGACCGTGGGGGCCCAGCACTCCTCTCCAGGCAGTATGGTCTGTGCCGACGCGGGCGTTGAAGTCACCAAGGACAATTAACTTGTCCGCCTTCGACACAGTCGCCAAGAGGGCGTGCAGGTCCTCATAGAATTTGTCTCTGACGGCGTCGGGGTTGGTCATGGTCGGAGCGTAGGCGCTGATGATGGTGGCGAATTTGCCTCCTCGCCGGAGAGGCAGGCGGAGGCTCATCAGGCGATCGTTGATTCCCTGCGGCAGACAGGGCAGTCGTCCCACGATGTCAGTCCGGATGGCAAAGGCGACACCCGCGTCACGTCGCTCTGCCCTGGGTCGACCACTCCAGAAGAAGGTTTAGCCGGCACCCACCTCCTCCAGTTGGCCTTGTTCGGAGAATCGGGTCTCGCTGAGTGCGGCGACGTCCACCTTGTAGCGCGCCAGTTCTCGTGCCACTAGCGCCGTCCTCCGTTCCGGTCGGTTGCTCCTCGGATTGTCTAAAAGGGGACGAACATTCCAGGCTGCCAGAGTGAGCGGGCTCACCCTGCCAGTCTGGCGACTGCGGTGACGAAAAGTAGGAGTAGGAGAAGAAGAAGAATAGGCTGGAAGAGGAAGAGAGTGATTGTTGTTGTTGTTGTTGTTGTTGTTGTTGTTGTTGTTGTTGTTGTTGTTGTTGTTGTTGTTTCGATTTTGGCTGTTTCGACCGTGTGTTTTTTGTCTGCGGCCACGGCCAGCCTACCGACAGCGTGGTTCCCAGCGATCTTTAGGGCATCTTTTCTAGCCCCCTCCCCCTTGCGGGGGCAGGCAACGCATCCCTGAACAGGGCTGCCCGGTTATCCCAGACGGACTCCACTATGGGCCACGACTTTTTGTTAGTGAGAGAACGACCCGAATTAGCCTGGGACCTTGGTGGTGAGGTGATGTGATGGAGTGAAGTAGGAGAGAGCATACACACTACCTAACGCTATGGGACTTAGAACTAGAGTGGACAGGCGGACACAGTCATCAGTCAGAGACAAAGTGAGGGCACCACACAAAGTCAAGCACCGTAACACCTAGCTATTAGTAGAGAGTGGCATAGACTGACGGACAGACAATCGCAGCAGGCATCGGGGGTGTCGTTTAGCTATTAACAGACAGACTAGCGTACAGAGGGCAGGCAGCAAGAGCAGCATACGACACGGAACTTCAGCAGACAAAAGGAAGAAACAGTGCAAATGCACTTACCTGAGGGGGAACTTACCTGGTGGCCTCTTGCGATGGTCCAGGCAGAGCCTCGTCTCGACGATGCCGGCGCAGTGTTTCATCCGACCATCCATCCAGTGGAGTCCACTGTACACTGTGCACGCGGCACAAGCGCACAGCGCCCTCACCTGGTTTAGCCCGCCGGTCGAGACGGTTGCCCGGGGTGTGGCCGCTGAGCGGAGCCCAGCTACGTGGAGCCACATGTGAGAGTTAGGTGCCAGCAAATGGACGCTAGGCGTAGTCTCACCTGCAAGCAAGTGAGCGACCACTACGACCATCACGTGGACCCACCGCTGACACCCCTACACCCCAACTGGATACTCACATGCTGAAAGGCAACCCGAACTGCCGAAGCCTGATCTAACGGATTACTGAAATGACTATAAATATACTACTAACAGGATTTAAACAGATCCTTTTTTGTGCGTCAAACTTAGCCCATATGGAAATTTTCACAGTCCGAATGCGGTGAACAAAGTTTTTCTAAATTATTTCGCGAATACCATGCCCCTTTCGCCTTTATGTTACATTATTAGGTGTACGAGTTCTCCTTACTAAAACTGCAAGCAAAAGTTTTGCAATTTAACTATTTTCCCTTACATCGGTACCCTCTAAATGGAGTTTTCAGGGCTTTTGTCCTTTACTCCAAATGATACTGACTGAGGTCCTTATGGTTACAATTGGTAGCAAGTTGACATTGAGTAGCGATATGTCCAAGGTAAACCACGAATTCGAAATATCGACTATACTGCTGACTACCGTCGTTAGTCTCAGGCTTCAGTCCGGACTGAAGGCCGAGCCGTAGTATTCTAGACCTCGATGAAAGCAGTCAAACCTTACCAGCCATGTTCAATTGCTTGGAAGACTACGCCCTTTCGTTCCTCTGAGGAATGCACTGTAATTTCAGACGGAAAGTTCTGGCGGCCTCAAAAAGCCCTTTTAAGCACTTTTTAGTAGCTGTTCTACACAGACGGGGGAGTTCGCAACTTATTTTCACCTTTATAGGAAAAACGTCCATTCCGTGCAAAATATGTTACGCGATCCTGGGCTCCAGGAGCAACCTCGGTAGACACGTCGCCGAGGTACATGAAGGTGATTTTTCCCCTGACAGTTTTTCTTGATTTTTTGCCCTATTTGAAAAGCTAATGATAATGCTCAACTTCATTGTAGGCAATGCCCGCTATAAATGTACTTCCTGTGCGCAAAGATTTGATAGGAGACGCGATTTCAGAGCCCACACCAGAGCCGTCCACCGCGGTGAGTGCGCCCTTGTACTGTCGTTGTTGCCGGCTTTCAGTAAACGACTCAACAAACACTACTAGTATATTTTCAGTAGATGAAGTTTGAGAAATATATGCGAAGACAGCGATCACTAGCACTTTCCCCGCAGCAAATTTACGTGTATGTTTCACGAACTTTACCCTCCTACGCTTGGGGAGTAAAGACCGACTCCCGTTGCAGGCCACATCGATGTGTATTTACGTATTCACTTGCTCCTGTGGAGCGGGATGCATTGGCCGTACAACGAGGCGCCTGGAAAAGAGAGTACGTGAACACATACCGGCCTGGCTAGACAGAGGTGAAAAGAAATCGATTTTGAGTTCTATTCTTGCACATCTTTTCGATACGGATCACCGAGTCGATGCCAAAGAAGCCTTTCAGGTTGTCTACCGGACACCAGCAAGCTTCTCCAGAGGCCTACGCCAGCGGGTGCTAGCTACAGCTGAAGTTTGAGAAATATACGCGAATTAAATGGTGGGGCAGACAAGTCGACAGACCATTGTCGACACAAACGATGGGTTTAGTGCGGGTGCTGATCATTTGAGACATCGCTCCGGTCGCTTGTATGCTTTACGGGCTTTAACTTCCCGACGTGATCTACTATAGAATTAAACATATTTGACTACTTCTCAAATGTCCATTCACTGACCAACGCGTATGCAATAGTTGGCTTATAACACACTTCCCAAAGTAGTTTAGCAATCAGTCTTTTTTCGCCCGCAGAATTTACTGATCACTGCTGTGAAGATTGTGGACGTTTGTTTAAGAAACTTGCCAACCTTCGGAAACATCAGAGAGTGGTTCACCAAGGTTTGTTGTGAATCTTGCCCTCTCTTGCTATTTTACCTTTTTGTTTATCTCACACCCTCTGTGCATCAGTCTACCCGTACTGCCTGCTGCGGGTCATGTGGGAGTTGCCCTGAACCAGCCTGGGGGCAGATCGGGGTTCGACACGTGTTGTTGGATTGCGCACCCCATAGCAAATACCATACATTGGGCTGTGGTTGCACACCTGGGTGCAGGCCCACGCCGCGCCGACCACTTGCGCCCTATCCCACCTCCGGTCTTATTGACTCTGTCTTGACACCGGGCCCAGGAGGGTGAGGGGAAGAGAGCGAGGTTGATGCAGCGCATGTTGACTATCGCTGTAAACTGATGCACGCGCAAGTAACCATCCTTGCTCCCAGCCTCGGTAACGACGGCCGAACTGTCTACGCGCATCTTTGTCGATATTCCCAGTTTAATCGGTCATTTTCTGGCACATCAGCAATCCTCGTTTCTGCTTACTCTATGAACAGCTTAATTCCTTTTGAATTTTGCCAGAATGAGCTTATTTACAGTTTGGTTTTTTCCCTCTAGATCCACATAAGTATAGATGCGATATTTGCCGAACCCATTTCGCATCCAAAAGCAACTGCCAAGAGCATATGTTCACAGTACATAAAGGCGAGTTATCTAGCTCCAGAAGAGCCTCTTTGTTTTAGTAATCGCATTAACTCCGAGTGTGGGCATGTGTGTTTTCTCTCTTCCAGGTCTCCGTCCACTCCATTGTCCCGGTTGCGGTGGCGGTTTTGTAGCTACCTCTGCCCTAGCTCGGCATTTAAAACGCTGCAAACTAGGTAGTGCATTTTACTGCTGTATTAATTAGTAGTAGTATTCTGTAGCACTGAAAGTAGGGACCAAGGCGTCAAAACGGAGCACCGGTTTTTTTCTCAAAATCACTTCGCAGCTTGTGAATCTGTTGATTAGGTTGTGAAAATACGTTCTTGGCAGTTTCCTGGCCCTTTTTAGAGTAGTTGTCTCCAAAAGTGTGATTGGGTCTTATTGCTACTTATAATTCAGTGAAAGCTTATGGAAGGCCGTGTCATCATGGTTACTTCCAGTATGCTTTCTAGCCGCCATTCTTTCTGATACTCTCCGAGTAGATAATACCATGTTCAACGGACTACTGTCACGTATTTTAGGTAATTTCAAGTAATTCTCCCCCACCCCCTCCTTTCATCCTCATTACTCCAATTCTCCTTGAAAATACCATTTTGTGGGAGAGAATGGGAGGACTTTCCTGGTGTGTTTGTCTACCTAGGGACGGACCTGCAAAATTGCAACCCGGCACCTGAACCTCCGTCGCTACAGCCGCCAAGTTCAAACCTGAACCCATCACAAACATGATATCTTTCCTACCGTTGCCTACCTCGCTGCGCATTTGTACTTTCTGTCCCAACTCCCTTTTGTTGTCTTTCAGTAAACACATGATCAAAAAAAACAATATTGGCTTTTAGACGAATTTACCAACACGGATTTTCTAAATTGGGTCATCTTGCTGCTGTCGCGCATAGGTCGGTCAAACTTGAGTGAAGGACAAAAATGGCGTGTAAGACGGCACAGTGTGCAGCGTAACTCTTCCATAAATAGTGTCACGTAAATATATATTTTTGTTTAGGCAGGATGGTATTGCCGACAAAGACAAGAGAGACTGGAATAGCCATTTCTGACTTACTAGCCGTCGTCAGCCAGTCATACCCAACATCGAAGTGTGAAACACCCAAGGCTCGAACTCGCGACCTGTTAGTTGGAAATCCAACGCCTCTAACCACTGGGCCAAGGGTTCATTGTCCTGCCGGTTGCAATCGGGGATATACTATGGTGGAGGGGTGCTCGCCGATCGTTTCTACGGAACTCACTCGTCCCGTTGTGCCTTAGGGTTCTCTCTCAAGTCCGATCAGCAGCCGCACAGCGGCGCAGGATAGAGGCAGAACACGATTACCGGCAAAGACAAGGGAGACTTGAATGGTCATTTCTGGCTTATTAGTCGTCGTCAGCGAGTTCGAGCCTCGGGTGTTCCACACTTCGGGGTTGGGTATGACTGGCTGACGACGGCTAACAAGCCAGAAATGGCCATTCCAGTCTCCCTTGTCTTTGTCGGTAATGCCATTCTGCCTATATACCATGCGCCGCTGTGCGGCTGCAGGTTGGACTCGAGAGAGAACCTGTAAGGCACAACGGAGCGAGCGACTTTCGTAGAAACGATCGGTGAGAACCCCTCTACCGTCACGTAGGATGGAATAACTCCCTTTCAAATATTTGCCAACTGCCTTAGCACATACCACTGATTGCATTAACTATCTCAGCGGATGCCAAATGTGCCGCATATATATACACGGCGGATTGGCTATCTCATGAACTGTTAACGGAAGTCCTGAAATGCGTTTTCATCTCATAAGGATTTCTTGACTAGGGTTGTCCTGTTAATTGTCTTTTCGCCTAATGTGAAGATACTCCAGTTACGTCAGGATGCCGGCTTATGAACATGTTTCTTATCGAGGGCCTACGTGAACTACATGCCGTTCATTGGTTTTCGGTGGGATGGGGTACATGACCGGAGTGGGTTTTCTGCCTGCTACGTATATCTAGGTAGGCGTTCGCGGCAAAAAAACCCAGGATGCACTCTTTTCAGATGGAAGATCCTGGAAAGACACAATTTGCTACCAAATGAGTAAGAGAGAGAATACGCTTGTACATTCCTTCCTACATAATATGTTTGAATTTACAAGGATATTGAAAATCAATGGCAAGTACTCATACTACATTAGTAGCCGGTTTTGCTGGCGGTCGGGAAGAAGCTCATTCGAAAGTCGACATACGGGCTTGACTTCGGATTATACCGTACAATACGTAATGTTGCAGTTTCACTTAAGTCATATTTTCAAGCCAAAGTCATTTTTCGAAATTTAGACATACAGTAGATGTGCTAACTCATGAAATGTCAACCAAAATTTCGCAATGCGTTCTCGTTTCGAAAAGATAAATTAAGTAGTGTTGTTAAACTAATCATGGTGCAGCATAAATCTATAATGATCCAGTTTCCTCAGGGTGTCGGCTTTCGAAAGAACTTATTTTCGGCTGCATGCAAGGTCTATGCTCTGCAAAAAATGACTACTTATGTAGTATGCAATTTTCTCATTGATTTTCGATGCCCTTGAAAATAAGTTCTTTCGAAAGCCGACACCCTGAGGTAACTGGATCATTATAGATTTATGCTGCATTATGATTAGTTTTATAACACAACTTAATTTATCTTTTCGAAACGCGAACGCATTTCGAAATTTTGGTTGACATTTCATGAGTTAGAACATCTACTGTATGTGCTTGCTTTTCTGAGCCATATCCGCGTGGCTGGATAAGTGGGCTGAGGGAATTGTTTAGATCTGGAAAAACTTTCACGAGCTATCCAGTATCATACTGGAAATTTCTGTTGTACTGCGAAAAAGGATCGTCCCATAGGCTGACAGTCTTGACTTGGGGAGAGGGGGGGGGAGGGTGTTCTGGTTCACGCGGAGACAATCTCAAGGAAGGGATGTTTCGAAAAAATCAAACACAGAAACACCGTTCGGTAAACTGCAGACTGCACCTTGTCAACCAAGTGAACATCCGTATAGAGTGACTGCTGGTTCCGTTAATTAGGCAGATAGATCGAACGGACTTTTTAACAGTGCACACGATGTATAGGCTTGCAAAATTCCCTAACGATACCTAAGCCATTTTTGTTCCGTCTAATTTACACGCCAGCTGGTGATACACGGAATATTGACTATCCTCGTACTATAGGTGACTTCGAGCTAAATTCCACGGAGATAACTATTCCTCGTGTCGTAAATTTAACCCTTGCCGCTATCCCCTTAAAATTTACGGAAAGACCACCTGTATTACGCAACGGGTCCATATGCTCGCGACCAACCCGCCAATGTTTTCAAGTCTAGTTTATACGACTTTGATTTGTGCGGTCCTTATGGAGCATTGTCGAAATCGCGCGTTTACGCATTGTTCCTAGGGTAAGCTTGGGGAGTTCAGGTGTTGCTACTGTGGAGTTTCGAAATGTCCGCCTCCAACATTGATATGCTATCTTGTCACATTGCCAGAAACGCTCTCATTGGCTTCGTCTCTCCTCACTCCTTCCCCCCTGTTTACATGCTTACTGATGCTCGATGCAGCATTCTGTTATTACAACTCACAAAGTTGCTCTGCCTGCGGAAGGCTCCTTAGATGCCCCCCAACAGAATCAGCTCGGAGAGCTATCGTGTGGATTACATCCACTGCGGACAAAATTTGCCAGGCTGCTACGACGCACTGACAATTGATGTCCCATTTAAAATGACCCTTCGGATCCATCCCAGATGCAATTCTTTGGGAAAAAGAAACTGACCATAGGAAATATTTGTTATACCATTCTGCGCAATGGAGTTTTTAGCTGGAAAAATCCTAATAATGCTCTTTTAAACAGCCTTCGTTACTTCTTGATAAGCATGACTTGCTTCTCTGGTCGCCTAAAAGAAGCCCTCACCATTAGCCGACGATTTACCGGTAGTGAGTGTGTCGGTGACATCTTTCACGATCGCAGGAAAGGCCTCCGACAGGACAAATGGATGATAAATTTTTAAACAGCTCAGTTTTACGCCCTGGTTAGTAGCGCGCGACGATGGATTAATTAGCCACAATGCACAAGTACTTTCAGCGCGCGCGAACGGCATACGACGTCTGCAGATATAATAGCAGTAATACATAACCCGGCAGTTTGTTTTCTTATGTAATAAGTGATTCGGAAATCGATAAATCAAATGAGCTTAGTAAACCCTGCCTGGGCATTCTGTGAAACCGTATCCATATTCAATATTTGGAGTACGTAGGCAACGGCTGAAAACACGTTATTAGTAAGCATACATTGAAAGGCAGGACGCTGGAAAAAGTTATACTTGACGTGGTTCAACCCCTTTGTGGGGCATATAATAGAACATCGTCTCTGAGCAGGCATGTTCTAGAAAGCCGGGGCAGTACTGTTTGCATCAGTACCTCTACTGCATCGATGTTCACTTCGCCGGACACCCAATAACTGTAGGTAAACTTGGGCTTTCTGAGTTTTTCGAGAAGCGAGGATCTGTCTTGACTTTGCATTGATATCCACCCGGAAGAGTCTGAGACTGTGACCGTAGTCATCAGAGAGAAATCTTGGAAGATTAAAATTCCGACGTCCTTCTCACTTACGTCTGCCGTCTAAAATGGTTCCATAAGTGCAATGTACAAACTCATCCAACCTGACAGTTAAGCCTCACACGCGCGAATTCAATATGCAACTCGCAAACATAGTTGCTTCCATTACTGCTGTCTAGTTCACAAAAGCTCTCATTTCTAATGTGGATGCCTCCCAAATGGCCCTGGCAGTCCTGCTCTCCAGCCTGTATTCTGACATCTTCTGTTTCATCAAGCAGAAACAGCCACTCCAGGTTTTTCAATACTTCATTCTTTCCGCGAAATGGACACAGCTCCTCATCTATCGTTGAAGAAGAACAAGAAAAGGGACACTTTGAGGGTGAGTTGAAATCACCGGCAACTTATTGTGACTTAGAATGGTTATTTGTGTCTAGGGTGCAAGTGAGTCCATGGCATACAAAGTGCAACGCTTAACTGTACGTGCCAGGTTTGACAGGTGTGTCTGCACCTGACAACTTGTTTGTTGCAAATGATGGTGTCGCTGGTCTTCCAACACCACAAACCGAAGTTCTGGGCCAGGTATGTCGATGATACCTTCGTCGATATCAACGGGGATCAACTGATGACATACAAAGGACATCTGTCGTCCCAGACATACAGTTTACGATAGAGGAGGAAGAGAACTACCAGCTGGCCTCCCTGAATGTCCTCGTATGCCGCAAAGATTGTGGTGGACTAAAGACTAAAGTGTTCAGAAAAACGAGAAATACGATGTAAGTACCGAACTTTAACAGCAACCATGTACTTAGCCAAAAACGCAGTTGTGGAAGGACGCTCTATCGGCGTGTCGAAACGCACTGCAGTGAGCCGGAAGACAAGATTGCCGAACTAAAATACCTCCGGCGGGTCTTCAAAGCCAGTGGCTACCCGCACAACTTCGTCAACCGGTGCATACGCAAAGGGAACGAAAGGCCTAACCGCATGGACACCAAATTTTGGCAGGCCCTACCGTATGTCAAGAACGTTTCGGAAGCTGTCGGCCGCCTTCTCGTACCACTTGGGGTTGGAATTGGACACAGACCGGAGACAACCATTGGGCGTCAGTTAATGAAACCGAAAGACCTACTGCTACGGCAAGAAACGTCTGGAGTCGTTTATCGGATCTGGTGCAGTTGCGGATAAAGCAA